GGTAATGTCTGTGTTTCATCCCTGACTGCAAACACAGACGACTGAAATGCAGCGAAACGGGGTGGGTTGCGGACAAGTTGCTGCGGACACACACACACACACACAGATAACCCGTGACAATATGCATTTTGTACTGCTGTTACATAGCACAAAACGCATAAAAAGAAGACGAACTCAGCTTTCACTTCCCCGCTCACATGGCTCGTCCCGTGATGAACAGCCCAAGCATGCTCGACCAGAGTGGGTGTCCACCACGCCAAACATCCGGTTGTAAAGACCACGGCAGTTAAACCAAGTGTTGTTGCACCATACGTTCGCCTGTAAAAACCTACAGTTTAAAAACCGTTAAATGCGGCTCTTTATCAGGAAGCAATAGGAAAACGACGATTTAAAGAAGTACAAAAACAAATGCTGGTGAAGCTAGCAATAACACATACAATCCAAATAAACGCTAATTCATTAAAGTAGCAATTTTTCATCAAAAAATAAATTTAAAAAGACGAACACAGTGAACAGATATTTGACATCATCAATGAATGTAGACGGCTCCGGATTGGCGTGCTCCGCTTCACCGCGCACCGGTTCATCAACAACAAAAAGCAATAAAATGAAACTGACGATCCCGAGGATGGGCGTCAGACGGACACCCCACTGCCACGCACCGGTCCATAGCGAAACAAGTGAGCCGGTGACGTACCCCAGTCCACTGCAATATACACAGAGCTGGTCAAAACTAGATAGACCCTCGTTTTATCCATAGCATTTCATTTTGACGCTCCGATCTAATTTAATTTGTATTCGTCTTAATTCCTGTTATTGAGAAATCACACCTTCTCAATGTCCATTACAATTCAGGGCACTCAATTTGAAGAACCGTAACATTGCCCTTCCAGACTTTCCGGACCACCGATTTCGATTAAAAAAAAGTCCCCTTAGTCACTTTCCTAAGGAAGCAAAAGTTATTTTAGTTAGCAACACGTGAACCTTCCAACTGGTATTGCGAAGTAGAAAACCATCAGCGCGGTGCTCCGACGATTGCCCGTATACATATCCGCAATAATGGTCGGTGCGACGGTAACATAAGAGGCTTCGCCAATGCCAACGATACCTCGGCACAGCATAAATAAATAGAAATTCTAGAATAAGAAAACACCCTTCAACACGTGTGGTCGAGCCAAATGATTCCAACATTGAATCCAGCTGCTTATGAAAATCACTGCACTGTTCGTTGGACAGACAATCGATGTCGAGCTTTCCGCGCATACACAAACTTCGCCGGGTCCTCTTCTCTCCCAGTCTTTCCGCACCTCCTCCGCCTTTCCCCTCAAACGCCCAAATGTAAAAGAAAAGGTGCTTTTTGTGATTGCCAACAGTAAAGGCAATGAATTTTTACCAATCAAATTGACCAATGCGCCTCATTCAATAGCTTTCTTTAAATGACGAGGGTTTACCACAAGCATAAAACTGACTATCCTTTTCTCGGCTTGGAAAAATAATACACAGGCATTCGCATTTCAACAATAACTTAAATATGAGATTGAATTCACAACATGGCGAAGAGAAGAGAGCGGGACAAAGGTCAACGAGGTGAAAATAAGTAAGGTCTCTGAATGAAGCGAGGAAAGAAGGAATGCTGTGTGGAGAAAAACTAAAAAATGCTGGCGAGAGGGTCACATGCTGTTAGAAGCATTTTATACTTGAAAACAGTCTTCGTGCTTCAAACGCTGTGCAGGCTCGCCTACTAAAATTGTTAAGACACAATCTCCGACCAGAATTGACCTAGATGTGGCGGTCAGGCTGCTCATCTAAACCCAAACAGAAAAGTATGGCAATGTCTTTCGCTAGCACATTACTCGCTGCATTTTGATTGAAATACGTCAATATTTTCCAGTCCTTGCTATTTATAAACAGAAAAAAAAGTCCCACTGCAAAATTGGCAAGAATTTTTATTTGCTATACTAAAGCGCTGCTGTCTATTTGTAGTCCTGACAGGAATCTGTCCTTGTTTGGCAACAAGTCGAAGAATAGACGAGTGATAAAGCTTCCGAAACTGTAAAATCTGGCCAAAATACACGTGCGCGCGCATTTAAAGTCTGCGGTAATAGGCAGAAGAGCAAGATTCCGCATCTAACGATGACTGAAGTGCAGTAACTCCTCAATGTAAACACTGTGGGTAACGATCAATATAAATACCTACTGCAGGTCCGCAAAATGTCGATAAAACCACGGCAATCATCCAAACGACCAGCCCACATTCCATAATGAACTTTCTGTTATAGCGATCACCAAAATAGCCACAAATTGGGGCGAACAACATATAAAACACTATGAACACAGTCTACAAATAACGCCGCTTGCTACGCTTGAAAGAACGTTTTTCAGCAAAGACACAGACAATACATAAAGCAATGAACCTGCAGAAGTCCAGCCCCTGAATCATCAATACGATAATATGACTGTATCTGTGTTAGTACACCAGCTACCGTGAATCTGAAAAAAAAGAGAAAAAAAGAAGCCACAAACAGCACTCTGCAAATGTGAATCCTCTACCGTAACTTATATTCCAGCAGAAGATTCCTCTTCATCGTGCTTGGGGACTGCAGTGTTCAGCACTGTGACATCTCAAGACGGCTAAAGCCTAAATAATTGGCCAACGCGCGGGCTACCCGTGCGAAGATGCGTTTTTTGCATAGCTCCACGCAAATTTTTGTCGCTAACGGCACTGGTTTTTCCGGCAGATGCTTCTAGCTAAAAGAATTTCAGA